CAGGCCCTGAGTTCAAGCCCCAGGAATGGCGAAGAAAAAAAAAAAAGCTGGAAGCTAGTGGTCTATGCGTGTCATCCTAGCCACAACAATCCAAGCCCGGTGTTAATGGCTCACACCTGTAATCTCAGCTACTCAGGAGGCTGAGATCTGAGGATCTTCATCAAAGCCAGCCCAAGAGGTAGAGTATTTGCCTAGCAAGACAGGCCCTGAGTTCAAGCTCCAGTACTACTGAAACCAAACAAACCTCACATGTTGAAGGACCTGTTGGTCCTTCTTTCATAGGGCTTTAAGCTGAGTCTTTGGGACAAGCAGCTGCCATTGGGACCCAGGAGTTCCTCCATCAACCTCCCGCCTGGGGCCCAGCATCCTGCAACTTTACCTGATAGTATCTGTTACTGTAGAAACAATGACAGGACAAGGCACTGATGCAGTTGTTCTGGCTAAACAAAAAGCCTTGATTGCAGATACAGCCTGGTGAGCAGTGTGGCTCACAAGTGGGTTTGGGGTTCTCACAGGATGCAGGGCACATACAGGGTTCATAGTGGGCATTTGGAGGGCAGCTCACTGAGAAGAAAAGAGCCACTGTCAAGGCTTTAATCCACAGCTGGTCCTCAAAGCCTCCCCATCCCTCCACCACCTGTATTTATCCTGCCTCAAGGAACAAGCTCTAAGCCAGGCGCCAGTGGCTCACACCTGTAATCCTAGCTACTCAGGAGGCTGAGATCTGAGGATTATGGTTCAAAGCTAGCCCAAGCAGGAAAGTCTGTGACTCTTATCTCCAATAAATCACTAGAAAACTGGAAGTAGCACTGTGGCTCAAGTGGTAGAGTGCACACCTTGAGCTGAAGAGCTGAGGGACAGCGCCCAAGCCCAGAGTTCAAGCCCCATGACTGACAAAAAAAAAAAAAAAAAGACACAAGCTCTGACTCATTACAACACAGAGAGGCCTTGAAGACACTACTCAAAGAGAAAATCATGTAAACCAGGCACCAGTGGCTCACGCCTGCCTTCCTAGCTGCTCAGGCAGCTGAGATTTGAGGATCATGGGTTGAAGCCAGCCTGTGCAGAAAAGTTCCAGAGACTCTTATCTCTAATTAACTAGCAAAAAGCCAGAAGTGGTGCTGTGGCTCAATTGGTAAAGGGCCAGCCTTGAATGAAAAGGGACCAGTGCAAGGCCTTGAGTACTGGCAGAAGAGGAGGAAGAGGAGGAAGGGGGAGGAGTACTCAGGAGGCTGAGATCCGAGGATTGTGGTTTGAAGCCAATTTGGGCAAGAAAGTCCATGAGACTTATCTCCAATAAACTACTCAGAGAAAGCCAGAAGTGGTGCTGTGGCTCAAGTGGTAGAGTGTTAGCCTTGTGCAAAAGAAGCTCAGGGACAGCCCAAGCCCTGAGTTCATGCACTAGGACTGGCGAAAGAGATAGAGTAAGAGAGCGAGTGAGAGAGAGACAGAGACAGAGAGACAGAGACAGAGAGAGACAGAGACAGAGACAGCGCGTGGAGAGAGAGAGAGGGTCTGACAAAACTTTTCTGCCTGAGCTGGCTTTGAACTGAGATTCTCTAGAGCTCAGCCTTCTAAGTAGTTAGGATGACAGGCGTGAGCCACCAGTGCCTGGCTCAGTCTTTATTCTTTTATAAAAAAAAGTTCCCCAGGATTAACTCATCTCTGTATCCAGGGAAGTATTTCTACTAGGAAAATTCCTCTCCCCAAATTCCTCCTGCCTACTGTGCCCCCTACTGGCACCCCAACCCTGCATACCTGTGGTGAGTGTAGCATTTCTGGTGGTGGATGGAGCCGGGCTGGTTCCTGAGGCCCACACTGTTGACTGAGTGAGGAGAGTAGCCTTTTGAGTGGGGACTATAGGCTTTTTGGTGGGGATCGTGGGCTTTTCAGTGGGGACTGTGGGCTTTTTGGTGGGGACTGTGGGCTTTTTGGTGGGGATCATGGGCTTTTGAGTGGGGACTGTGGGCTTTTTGGTGGGGATCGTGGGCTTTTCAGTGGGGATTGTGGGCTTTTCTGTGGGAACCGTAGGCTTTTCTATGGAGACCATGGGCTTTTCTGTGGGGACCATGGGCTGTTCTGTGGGGATCATGGGCTTTTCTGTGGGGACCATGGGCTTTTCTGTGGGGATCATGGGCTTTTCTGGGGGGACCATGGGCTTTTCTGGGGGGATCATGGGCTTTTCTGTGGGGATCATGGGCTTTTCTGGGGGGACAGTGGGTTTTTCTGGGGGGACCGTGGGCTGTTCTGTGGGGACCGTGGGTGTTAGGGTTGGGAGGGTGGGTTTCTCTGTAAGGACAGCAGGTTTTTCAGTGGCCGCTTCCACTGGGACCATGGGCACTTCAGGTGGGACTGTGGTAGACTCTGTGACTGCTTGTGTTGGAAATGTAGTTGTTTCAGTGGTTGCTTCCGTTGGGACCATAGTCATTTCAGGGGTTGCTCCCATTGGGACTGTGGTCATTTCAGTGGTCACTCCCATTGGGACCGTGGCAGCCTCTGTGACTGTTTGTGTTGGAAATGTGCTTATTACAGTGGTTGCTCCAAGTAGGACCGTGACAGTTCCTGTGGTTGTGGTCGTTTCGAACAGGATGTTGGTTGCTTCTGAGGCTACTTCAGCTGGGACTGAGGCTGGGACTTGTTCAGTGGTCAATTGAATTGAAACAGAAGCTGTTTCCGTGGGTGATCCAGCTGGAATTGTGGCTGCTTCTGGGGAGGATCCCCCTGGATACGTGGTTTCTGCTACCACGGTAGGCCCAGCTGGAAACATGGCTGGTTCTGTGGTTGGTCCACCTGGAAATGTGGCTGCTTCTGGGGAGGACCCACCTGGAGATGTGGCTTCTACTACCACGGTAGGCCTAGCTGGAAATATGGCAGGTTCTTTGGTTGATCTACCTGGAAATGTGGCTGCTTCTGGGGAGAATCCCCCTGGAAATGTGGCTGTTTCTACCACAGTAGGCCCAGCTGGAAACATGGCTGGTCCAGTGGTCAATCCAGCTAGAAATGTGGTTGTTTCTAAGGTTGATCCCCCTGGAAACGTGGCTTCTGCTACCACAGTAGGCCCAGTTGGAAACATGGCAGGTTCTGTGGAACCTGGAAATGTGGCTGTTTCTGGGGAGGACCCCCCTGGAAATGTGGCTTCTACTACCACGGTAGGCCCAGTTGGAAACATGACTGGTTCTGTGGTTGGTCCACCTGGAAATGTGGCTGCTTCCGGGGTAGATCCTCCTGGAAATGTGGCTTCTGCTATCACGGTAGGTCCAGCTGGAAATATGGCAGGTTCTTTGGTTGATCCACCTGGAAATGTGGCTGCTTCTGGGGAGGATCCCCCTGGAGATGTGGCTGTTTCTACCAC